TCCCCGTGGCAGACCCCGCCCCGCTCTCACGCAGCGGGCCTTCCCAGTCCACCCGTCGCGCTTCCCTGCTGCTGGGGTCCCCCTACCACCCCTTTGCGGAATACAGGCGCTCGTCCAGCAGGCGGTCCACCCACCAAGGCCTGCCACGCCCCCACGAAGGCCTTGAGCACTGGGAGTTCCTGGCAGTTGCGGGGCCTCCACACACACCCGTGCTGACTCATAAACACTGGAGCTGGATGAGTGTTCACACATGAATGTCCCCCGAGATGAACCCAACCCCCAACTCCCCTAGTACCTGCTTCTGGTCCTGGCTCCTCGGGCCACGGAGTCCACTTGGGTTTGGACCCGAGGTCTTGGCAGCCCTGAACACAGCCTGCCCCACCCCCGCTCATTGCCCTGCTAGGTGGTGCTCAGATGATGTCACCCTCCTTCCTCCTTTTGCATTTCTCCGATTGTAGCGCAGGCCTAGCCTGATGGGGTTCAGGAGGCAGCCTGCACCCCACCCAATAATGGGGCAATGCTCTCTCCCCAGGGTACACCTCCAGAGTGCCCCAGTGTGAGAGGATTACTGTACGCTGGCTGGAGAAGCCAAAGAGCAGGGCTCCCCAGGCCACAGCATGTAAGGTCTGCTCTAAGTGCACAGCCACCCAGCTCCCAGCCCTGAGCACCAGGTGCTTGTGCCTGAAGGGGCAGGTTACGCCAGGCAATGGTTTGGGGCAAATGCCTTGTTCCTATGAAGCTGGGCTGAGCGCTGTCCCAGAAAGGGCACAGGACCACCCAAACTGCAGAACTGCAGGTGAAAAGGCTGAGGCCCCCCGGAAGGACACAGCCCACTGGTTAGACTTGGCTGAAGATACCTCCCTTCTTATCTGCATCCTTTTCTCTGCAGTTAAGACTACGCTCAAGCCTTGGGCAGGTGTATAGTTCACAAGTCCACCAACCCAGAGGGGCAACCGGATGCTATTGTGGGTCAGCATGACCGATATTACTCAAGGTAGGAGAGGTGATGTGCGACAGGGGACTGAGGCAGACCCAGAGGTCCAAGGGGTGGCGGAGTCCCACCAGAGGTCCTCGCCCCAGGATCTGCTACGGAAAGAAGTGGTCCAGTCGGCAGTGAACACAGCAAGGCCATGGCACCTCTGCCCCCATTTCCACACCAGGCAGTTGTTTTGAGTACATCTCCCCTCCCTCTGGGACTGTGCTACCAGGAAGGTTCATCTGAAGCCAGAACGGGACACTTCCTGGAATCCTGGGAGGGAAATGTTAGACTTGCCCTGTTCAGGGGTCAGCCAGGTCAGTGGGGGTCCCAGGGGCAGTTGGAAAGTCCTATTGATGTCTGCATTGGGAAACATAGGGCTTTTAGGAGGGAGAACCCCCTCCTGAGTCTAAGGGGGCCCCCTCCCACCTCTGCCCTAGACCTTATAGCCACCCCACTGGTGCAAGGTGCTACCAGCCCCCACTCTCAGAGGGCAGGCCCTTAACCCGAGGTAGCCCTGATTCCCTTAGCTCAGTCCCCAAGATGGCCCCAGGCCCATTCCTCTTTTGAATCAGGGTGGGGTAGGTAGTCTGTCCTCCCACCCCTCTTGTGATAACTGTCCATGGCCCAGCACTCCAACCCGATCGGGCCCCTGGGCTCAAACTAACCCCTCCCTTCCAAGCTGCAAAGGGCAGCCCTGTTACCCCACCCCACTTGTCCTTTGCTAATGCCACACTTTATCAAGGAGTTGGTCCTTAGGGTTCCTGTGGCTAAGACTCTCTGGGTGGCTCAAAATGCCCCTGCCCATGTAGGCAGCACCCTATAAACAACACCCCATGGAGTCTCCCAAGAACAAGTCCTGGCTGAAGACCAGATGGCAGAATAGGGCCTGGCCCACTAGGTGAACATGCATCACTGAAACGTGCTTTGCATTGGGGGAGGTGGGGTGGGGCCCTGCGGGGCCGGAATAATGCAGCTCAGGCCCGTCCTCTCCCACACATTCCAAGAAGAATGCCTCCTGGTTGACTCAGAGCATTCGGGACAGTTTGGGAAAGGAGTCACATGGGGTACCAGTGGTAAACTGAAGGCGTTTCAGTCTCAGAAGCCACATGGTACTGGTTATGTGTTGGGCAGTAATCTTTAATCCCTCCAGAGGGCAAAAATAGGGCTATCCACTACTTCTATGAAGAGCTGGTCTCAGAAACCCATAGGAGCAGCTGTACTTTATCCTATAGGGTCTTTATGAATCGGCATAATCAGAGTGCCTGGGTGAGTTCAAACTCACCAGCTGTCCCATGGGAGACTGCTCCAGTGAAGGTTTAGAAAGGAGCCGATGGTAGTGACTGGATAATTCTGCACCAGACACCCCTTGTTCACCTAAAGCCCCACCCAGGGTCTTCAAAGCTCTGCTCTCCCACTGGAACAAGGTGCCCGGTGTGCAGAACACAGCCAGGTGGCTTGGATACATAAAAAGGCTTTATTTGGAAGGCAGGGTTAGTCAAACAAGCCAAAGCCCATGTCGTCATCTGACTCCTCGGATTCCTCCTTCTTCTCGTCTTTCTTCTCCTCTGCTGGGGGGAAAAGACCAGGACAGTGAGCCCAGGGTCAAACCCCCAACTGGAGAACCTTTCAGAGCACCACCTACCTGCAGCTGGGGCTGAGCCGGCAGCAGGAGCTGCTGAGCCTGGGGCGGCGGAAACGGCCACAGCACCACCCGCAGGCACACTGGCAAGCTTGCCAATACCTGAGGGAGGAACCAGAGTCCAAGGTAAGTTTCCTGAGTCTGGGGTTACAAGTGGAGTGGACACTGAGAAGTTGGGGATTGTCAGTACAGCAGGGGCACTCCCTGGCTCCCAGGACAGGTTAGCTGTTGCTCTCCATTCAGCTGGAGCCCTGCTTTCCCCAAGGGCCTGGCTGGGTACTCCTAACACTGCCTCTAAGCATCTTCCCAACAGGAAGTTGAGCAAACATGTTTACAGCCAGCTGCTGCTCCCAGGTCCAGCTCCCCACCACTAGGGTGAGCTCAAGGGCCAGATGAGGATAGGGAATAGCCATCTGCCAGGGGCACACTTGGCACCCCTGGGCAAATCCCATAAACTATGCTCCCCAGACCCTGCCCTAAAGCCAGCTCCTTGTTAGTGTGCTGTCCTGGGAGCATGCCCATGGAGTGAGGCCACCAAAAGTCTGACCGATCCGCTGGGCAAGGCTCCTAGGGTGATCTGGTCCACAAGCGAACCCTGGTGGGCCACGGCCTGGCCAGCAGGGATTAGGATGGACTGTAGAGCTGAGTCTGGGATCGCCGCACAACAGACACTTACCCTGGGCAATAACGTCTTCAATGTTCTTCCCGTTCAGCTCACTGATGACCTGCAGGGAGAACCACAGATAACCGCAGGTGCCAAAGTTAGCAACCAAGTGGAAGCAGCCAGCCACTGGCAGCCGGGCCCAAAGGGTACCTGCTCCTTTCAGCCGCTCAGCTGTGACCATATCCAGGTAGTGAGTGTTCACTGGAGCTCAACACTGACCAACTCTGTGAACTGACACCGGGGAGTAGCATCAACAAGTTACACAGGGTGCTATCATTACTAACAAGGAAATGTGGTCAGAAATGCCCCAAGACGACAGCAGAAAAGTGGGTGAAGGGAAACATCAGACTGTACCATAAGACAAAATAATAATTTATAAATTATCAAGGGTTCATGATGGAGGGGAGTAGGGAGGGGGAAAATGAGGAGCTGATGCCAAGGGCTTA